ATTATTATCATTATCAGATTTTAGTTTTACGCCGCAGACTATGTGTACTCACTTCTTAAACCATCAGGTGCTGTGGGACAATGGCCTGTACCCAGTCAATTGTATTTTAATAAAATGCTGATTGGCCAGTAGCCAGGAAGGAAGTATAGGCGGGGCAACCAGGCAGGAAGTATAGGCGGGGCTATGAGAACAAGAGAATTCTGGGAAGAGGAAAGGTCAGTCTATAGTCATCATCCAGACACAAAGGAAGCAAGATGTGACTGCCTCGCCGAAAAAGGTACCAAGCCACGTTGCTAACACAGACAAGAATTATAGGTTAATATGTAAGAATTAATAAGAAGCCTGAGCTAATAGGCCAACCAGTTTATGATTAATAGAGACCTCTGTGTATTTCTTTATGACTGAACGACTGTGGGACCTGGTGGGACAGAAACCTTTGTCAACGATCAGGCACACACACCACACCTTGAGAATAAATCCTGAGACAACCTGAGAGGTATTATGACTACAGCAGCCAGCTCACAGTTCCTTGCAACTGTGTTCAGCTTAGGATATGTGGCACCGGTGACGTGAAGTCCTCTGTCATCCTCCTTTAGTCTTGCTGTGCCACCTACTGGAAGATGGCCACAGTTGTCCCGTTTTATTGCAGATGTTTATAGAATGCTTCAAATTTATTTCTGCTCTATGGTGATGGGAGGTTTTACGTGGCTCTAAAGTCAAATTTACAAGATGAACCTGGTGATCATTTCTCTCTCCTTTCTCCTGGCTCCTTCCTCTGTCAGGAGGTACAGCTTTATTTTTTAAATGCTGTGCCGTCTCTCCATTAATATGCTAATGTATTGCTATATAAAATTTGTTTCTATCTGTATGTGCTACTCTTTTTCATTCGATAAATAGCAGCATATTTTACAGACCATTGTCTACCTAGAAAAGTATATATATATACATATATATATATATTTTTTTTTTCAGGCAGAGACAAGTAAACCACCTGCATGATAACCTGACATGGGAGACTTGACTTTGCAATCTGAAAATCAATTTTATGAAAGCAGATGGACTAAAGGGGATTAGTGGTGAAGTCATAATCTACAGTTTTAAACAGATGTCTGTTACCACGCTTCCGTCAGAGACAGGATGGCTGTCCACACAGATCTACAGTAGCTCTGTAGCTGCACCCACCACTGTCCTTTCATGGTGTGAGACATGCTGAGCCCCAGGTGGTGCTGAGATCTACAGCCCCCTTTTCTCCTGTTGTTAGGATACGTTTACAGTCACAGTGGTCTTCCAGGATCTATGGTTCAGTTACCCACAGTCAAACATGGGCCAAAAACATTAAATGGAAATCTCCCAAATAAACTTCCTAAGTTTTAAATCAGGTATTACTCTAAGTATTATAATTAAAAACAAGCATCTGTGTTTACGAGCCAGGGACACAAATCAGCCTTTACTATACGTTATAGGTTATAGGTTATTTGTGCTGTAAACTTTACTTGCCTCAAGGCAGCAGAGGAGGAGATAGATAAATAAATATGGATCTGTTGTTGCATTCTGCTTTGTCATTAATCTTTCACTATATTTAGGTTTATGGGTTCAACTCTTTCATTTACTGTTTCTATTTTAAGTTTTCTCTTTATTCATTTTTAATGAAAATAGATTCTTCCCTCATATAACACATCCTGAGCACAGTTCCCCTCCTTCCACTCTTCCCAAATACCCCTCATTTCCCTTCTCTACCAGCTCCACTGCCCATTTCCTCTTCAGAAAAGAGCAGGCCAAGAGACAACAGTCAAACAGTACAAAGCAAGATACAATAAGACAAGGCAAAAGCCCTCATACCAAGGCTGGACAAGGCATCCCAACAGAAAAGAGTCCAAAGAGCAAGCAAGAGTCAGAGATACACCTACTTCCACAGTTAGGAGTCCCACAAGAACACCAAGCTAACAACAAGTATATGAAAAAGTCAATCTGGTTCTAAGGGGTGCAATTTATAGCTTCTTTATCATAGAGCTGGCAGTGGGGTTTTGTTTCTGCTGTTCCCATTGTTATTTTTGCACAGAGTGGTTTAATAATGTTAAAAACTCTTGCCACTTTGGCACTATTTTGCAGATGAAGCAGGCAAACCTATAGTCTTTTTGTTATTAACATCCGTGTGTCTGTTTCCCTACAGCATGCTTCCTGAGGCACTTCAGACGCACTCCCATCTGCAGTGGGTCATAGCCTAGTAAAGCATCAAAAATATAACCGAAAACTGGATTCCATTTTATCCTACCGGTCAGCTTAGCGCCCTCTTCCTTAAACCACGGAGTATTTATTTTAATACAGTTAGACAAAATCATTACACAGAAAGTCCGTTTTACAATAAAATTCCAAGTATACCACATAATACAGTGAACACGATTTATGTGGAAAGCAAAATCCAGATAATAGCATAGATGTGCATTTGCAATACTACAAAGTTTAAAAATCATAACCCCAGCGGGAACCATCTGAATATCACTTAAGCAATGTGGTGCTGGGACATTCTTTTTGCACACTGTGTGAAGATGTGCCTCTGTCCTTCCTCACCTGCCTGATTGGTTCTGACTGGTTTAGAAGAGAGCTGCCTGGGCGCTAGCTGAGCGGGAGAGAATAGGCAGGACTTCCGGGGGTGGGGTGGGGTGGGGGAGACAGGAACTTTGGGAAAGAATTTGAGGCACAGCAGATTTGCCAGCGAGACGCAGAGGAAGTCATACATATGGTATTGAGGAGAGGTAGCGAGCCACACGGCAGAATGTAGATTAATATAAACAGGCTAAAGTAAGTTTTAAGAGCTAATTGGGAAGAAACCTAAGTGAAGGGCAAGCTTTCTTAATTAATAAAAAAAATCTCTATGTCATTATTTGGGAGCTGACAGTCCAAAGAAAGACTTGCAACATTTGGTGTCCAACACAGAGGCACGTATAACTACGCACAAGACCCAAGAAAGCTGAGAAAGGATCATGGCATAGACATACAAGCTTGTTTATCTAAGAAAAATGTGTTAAGGTCTAAAAAGATATTTTTAGGTTGGTTAATACAGGTTATGATAGAAAGTGATTGAGGTACAAAGTTCTGGATTCACTAAGATAGGATAGATAATAGAATACTTTTCTCCAAAGTTTCCAAATACAAATTTACTGGACATTGTGAACGTACCCCTTACCTGATAATTGCTCTTATTGCGCATAGTTTATTGATGTTAGAGAAAGAGCCCCAGATTCTAGAATAAAAAGTCTCAAAGGCTCGATAATAAGTAAGGTTCGAAGGTTATCAAAAGTCGAAGAACCAATGGTCCAAAGAAGGACATTCAAGATAATTTCTGAGGAGTCCACAGAAACTCCAACATGAAGGTCATATTAGTAACATGAGGGCATATCATAAATATTTCACATAGAGTGATGTAACAACTATGTAGATGTTTCCCAAGTAAGTTTGTTACCACACTGATACCATAACAATAGGTAATTTCATATTTATGAGTTTTCTCTATTTTCTGTGTTTTGGATATAATTTCTTCCATAACTGAAGAAGGAACCCAGAAAATGAAGTCACCCAAATTAAGTCTTTTATTATGGTATTAATATTTTAAAATATGTTGTTAATGTATTATTGTATATTATAATATAATCTTCCTGCTCATGCCTCTTAACTATGACAGGATCCATCATGGCAAAGCACAGCTATAGAAACAGCCTCCATTCCCCAAGATTCTCCTCCCTGTTACGTTGCTGACCAGTAGTCACTTCTTGTCTACTAACTGTACTTAAGTCTTTTTCTCAGAAATAATGTTATCTACTCATTGTGCCAGTTAAGGTCAGCAAACCAAAGGAAAAACAAAAAGAAAAACATCTGCAAGACTTGGAAAAGGTGTCAGTAAAAAGAGAATAGTTCTCGTTTATTAATTTCTGCTACCAGCATATAATAAGCAATTAATGCTTTTGGCTTTCTTCCCAATGGTATTAAATAAAACCACCAAGAAATAAAGCTGGGGAAATACCCAGGCCCTGCACATGATAGACAAGTTCTTTGCCACTGAGCTACATCCCCAAACCAGAAGCACATCTTTAACGTAATCCGGCCATATTGGAGCCCAGAGAAACAGGACAGTTTTGACTTTGGAAAGTTTACTGGGCATGTAGGGTCCCTTTATGCCCTCTGTTACAGCTCTGTTACAGCTGCAAGAAAAGTCAGTTTGGATCCATGATTACTTTTAGATGAAAGGAAGCATGCTGATATATATGTATGCGGTGTGTGTGTGTCTGTGGTATGTATGTATATGGTGTGTGGGGTATGTGTGTATGTGTGCCGAGTGTATGTAAGTGTGGTATGTTTATATGTATGATGTGTGTATGTGTAGTGAGTATGTGTAAGTATGGCATGTGTGTATGTATGGTGTGTATGTATGTATGTATGGCAAGTGTATGTAAGTGTGGTATGTGTATATGTATGTGTGTGTATGGGTGCTGTGTATTGTATGGTGTATGTTTGCATATATGTTTCTATGTGTAGTATGTAGGTGTTATGTATGTGCATGTGTGATATGTGTTTGTGTATATGTTTGTATTATGGTATGCAGGTGGTATGTACGTGTATGTGGTGTGTGTGTGTGTGTGGTTAGCATGTGTGGTGAGTATGTATATGAGTGGTGTGTGTCATGGGGTGCATGTGTGTATGTGTGGTAAGTGTGGCATATGGTGCATGTGTGTATGTGTGTCGTGTGGTGCGTGTCTGTATGTGTGGTCTGTGTGGCATGTAGTGCATGTCTGTATCTGTGTTACGTGCAGCATGTGGAGCATGTGTGTATGTGTGGTGTTGGTAGCACGTGGCGTGTGTGTGTTGGGTGGGAGGTGGCTTGGGAGCCAACACTTAGCTGTGAATTCTGGATACACCTTCGTACCTTGCTGCTTTTCTATTTTGACGGGAGGACGGCAGGCTCACAGGCCCCATTCTGCCCGTGCTGTTTCCCCACTTGGACTTACTGTGCTCAGCGTCCTTGTCATTCAACAGGAGTTCTCTGAAGCAGGCACAGGGACCTTCGAGTGACATTCAGCACGTCCCAGAGCAGATGTAACCTGTGGGAAACACAGTTCACACTTTAGTCCGCTTGTCACATGCAAATACAACAGGAGGGGTTGACAAGTTTCAGGAACTGCGGTCGAGGAGCCCCACAAATCATCTCTACATGTTTTCCTTGCATGCTCAGAGCCATTTTTATTATGCCCCCTTTCCCAGGAAGTCTTAAAGGGAACTCCCCATCCCCTCAAAACTTTTATCCTTTTAAATTTGCTTCTTTTGTTTTGGTGAAACTCTATTTTCCTGTGCTAGTCCAGTTTTCCAGATTTAATATCAAATATTTACTTAACTATTTAATGAACAAATATTCTTTTTTAGTTCATTATGTTTCACAGTACTGGGTATCCCGATATGGAGGGTAGCAGATGTTGTCTAGTCCCCAGGGATTTTAAATTCAGTGGGCTATTGTGTCTTTTCCTCTTCCTGTGCCACCGTCTAGGTGCATATAGATCTTCAGTATCTTTGCAGCCATCCTTCCTCATGCCAGGCCCACAACAGTCAAGTGCACAGCGCCTCCCAGTGGTCTGCAGTTCCGCTTGCACTCTTTATCCTGCACTAGGACTTCACAATCCTCACACTGCATCAAGGTCCGTTAAATTGAGGGGAAGAAGGTCTACTTGTTTTTGTCATAGATGCTTAGGAACCTGCCCGTAGAGCATTCCCATGGGTTTCTGATGGGCAGCCAGGCTGCAAAAATTACTTCCCTCTTCACCTTTTCCTAGCTGTATGGATCCCTGACTGTCAGTAACAGTATCACACATTTCTGAGCCATTGCCTCCACTTAGCCAGCTAGCATCTCTCCCTTTAGGGGAGTTTTAGAGTCTTGATGTCATCCCTACGGACTAATGCCATGCCTCCTTCCTCTTTCCCTTTCCCAAGGATCAATATCTGTGTATTAATGAACTGTTTGCCTTTAGCACCTACTTTCCCCCAACCCCGAGTCTCAGGGCTTCGAGCAGCCTTGCTCTTATGTAAACAGAGGATGGAGAGAACCGCAGAACTCAGCAGTAGGCCTCTTTGGCTATTTTACTTCCGGTCATAGGTATCTTTGCAAATCTTTGTAAATGACTCCTTGGGACTAGAGAGTATAGCGAAATCGGTTTCTTTCCCAACATAGCAGACTACACTCAATGTTTAAGATATCCCCAGCGGAGCAGACTGGGCGCTGAGTATGACAGATCTTCAACCTGCCGTCCACCATATACAAAGTCAGGACTGGTGGTTGAATCTCATACTGCAATCTTAGCCTTTGTCTTCTTTTATCTTTTCTTCTTTCCCAGCCAAGAAAGTATCTCTAAATTTAAGGATTCGTGTGGCTCCACTGAATCCACTGAGATGATTAAAATCATTTTCTCATTTAAAAACCATCTGGCAAGACACTAAATCCCACCACCCACCTCACTGTTCCTTTGTTGTTATGTGATGCTACATATTATAACTCTGGAAGGAATCATTCCTAATCACCATTCTCATAGAGGAGGAGACTGAGACATAAAAAATTTTAATTAATTTGTTTTTAATTTAGAGCTAGAGAATGTCAGAGATAGCAACTAGCTGGACCCAGGATTTGCAATATCTATCTATCTATCTATCTATCTATCTATCTATCTATCTATCTATCTATCTATCTAATCTATCTACCTACCTATTGTATGCGTGTGTGTGTGTGTGTGTGTGTGTGTGTGCGTGCGCGCACACCACAGATTATATACAAAGGTCAGAACACAGCTTTTGGAGTCGGTTCTCTCTTTCCATCATGGGGACTGAACTGAGGTCTTCAGCTGATAGCAACTGCCCTTCCTGATTGGTCCATCTCGCCAGCTTAACTCTCACTCATGTTTACACTTCCTCCTGAAAGGGTTTGCTGAGTCTCCCTGCAGAATCCTCCTGAAAATACTGCTTGAAGAGGCTTACACTGTATTAATAATGTTGCTGCACTTCACAGAGAACAAAGCATTTCTGCCAACGCCATTTAGTTCATTCTCCAAGTAAGAGGCCATCTTATGATGATTAGTTCTACTTCACAGATTGGAAAAAAAAAAGAAACAGGAACCACTTTGTTTAACCATATGTTTGTTGTTCACCATTTATTGAAAGCTCTTGACAGGAATATTGAAGGACACGTGTCCAGTGCATTCCTGACTTTGACCCTTTTATGGATTGAGAGCTCTGAATTCTTGTCCTAAAAGGATACATTTAACAACAGATAGAAGAATGGATGTGTGCTCTGTTACCCCTGGAGGAGAGTCTCTGATGACTTAGCATTTGATTTAGTCATTAAAATTATTAGAGTCTGAATCTTCTACGCTATGGGCAAACGTAGCAGGAAAGACCCAGAGGGGGCTATGAGCTGAAGCTGAACATGTGATGCCCCACTCTGCCAAAGGGCAACCGTTTCTACTATATCAGAGTTTGAGGGTAAACCTTAGCACTTTAAAAAGGCAATTATTAGTTTACAGGAAGCAGGAAAGAACTGAAAAGCAGTACTGAACGAATCTTCCCAAAGTCAACAACTCTTCCTGCTAGAAGCCATTTAACTACGAAAATCTCCTAAGTTGTGTGCAAAGGCCAAATCTAAGCATAGTCATTTCTATTCAGCTGAGGGTTCAGGTCCTCCCACAAGCATCTGGAAATACCTTACAGCCAGCAATTTGATCATAAAGAACATTTTCCCCAAATTACAAATTCCTGCAGTATGTGGAGTTATAGAAAATAGGGACTTGCTCCTTAATGCCAAAGATTTGTTGCCTTCACAGTGTCTTGAACCAAGGTAGGCTCTACCTAAAATTAGCTTGTAAGAATTTCTGTCCCTAAAGATTTACCTGATTAAAGGCACGGAAAAATATTTAATATACTTAGAAGATGTTGTTGTTGCGCAAATGAGCAAATCTTGTCTTAGAAAGAATTTTCACTGCTTCTCCTGAAGTGGCGCGTTTTTCAGATGTGTCCATCCGGTGATTAGTTTACTGTCTTTGTTGTCACGGGATGAATGTGTGGCAGAATCTGAACATACGGACACCTCATGAGTGTTTTTAGAGTAGGGTAATCAGGTCATTTAAGAGACTCACTGCTCTGATGATGAGGTTATTAAAAAAGATGCTTCTGTTGTGTTGCAAGATCAGCTGTTATCCAGGATCAGTGACTATACCTCCCCGGGGAACGTAGGCACAGAAACCCATAGGCATATGCCCACACACCGACACTCACATGTCTCTGGAAGCTTGAAATCCTACCACCAGCAAATTACATACCCTTTGTATAAGATTAGCTCTTTTCACAGTTCCCTGTTAAAATATCCCTAAATAGGGTGTCATTAAGGTGATGGGGAAGCAGGGGCTCACCAGATGCTTACTTCCCACCTCTTAGAATGGAGAGAAAGAGTAGTAAATTTTGCCCAGAGACCGCCTCATGGACGACTAAACACCGGGAGACATTACAGAGTATCTACCTAATTAAAATGGTAATGGAGAGTCTAATAATACACAACCGTTTACCAATTGCTAGCATAAAAGAATAATGAACTCCGTCAGTCCAGGAATGAAAGTGAATGCTATACCTGGCACTGCTGGCTCTCTGTAGTCAAGTCTTGCTACCCCCTCGACTATTGTTAAGTAACTGGGACTCTGCTTTCAATAAAGGAATAATCAAATTTATAAATAAAAACATTCCTTTGATGCGATCATAAATGAAGTAAGTGCCTGGCTAAGCCTTGATCTTATTCCATCTTCCTTTAAAAAATATTTTGTATCTGGATTCATTTTCTAGAAGATCTAAAGTCCATAGGTCCAGGCAAAAATGACCCCGGTCTCCAGTGGCAGTGGGGCCAGCTTCTGAGGCTCAAGTCCACCCTCTCCATCAGTCACTGTCTACTGAGTGGGAACAGCATCGCCATGTTCTCATGGCTCAAGCCATCTCTCTGAGTTAGCGTACAGTTTCTAAGTATTATATTTCTACAGCTTTTTATTGAATGAGTATTAGATGAGAGGGACTAGGAGGCCCTGGAATGAACTTTATGTCAACTGCCCTCAACTGCTGCTGACCATAACACATTTTGTAAAGCTTTATTTTCTCTGCCATAGTGAGGGCAGCTACCCTTTAAAACTAAAAATCTGTCATCCAGGTTCAGCTTCCAAGAAAATCTTCAAATAGAATTGATATTTTTACCGTTATCCGCACCTGTTCTTAACTTGATTTTGCCTCAACGGTTAAGTGTTCCAATTGTTTTTAAAGGTTCACCTTAGATAAGCAAATTTAAAATGACCAAAGACTCGAGTTTACATCACTCTGTCACCGCCAATGCATGGACTGCTCCTCTTGGTTTACGTTATTGGCTTTTGTCTTTTATTTTCTGTCCCACGTTCCATGGTTCTCTCCCATTACATTTCCTTTTTACTAATATTTACAATATGTTTTGATGTTTACCTTCTACACACAAACACATCTTTGAAAATTTGTCACCAAGCGTGTTTAATGTTCACCCATGTAGCATGTATTTCTGCTTATAACATTTTTCTGTTCAATGCTACTTTTTGAAGTTCTGCACATAATATTGGACATACTCCGAAGCCACTGGTTCACGTACTCCATCGTGTTGTACGAGCCACACACTGGTGAACCTTCTCACAGCACCAGCCTGGCTGTACGCAGAAGCACACATTTTTTCCTGAGTTCCCAGTGTTTTAAGGAGGATAGCAACAGTAGTAGCATGGCTAGATTATTAAGTCCACATATGTAATGTTAAATATCTGGGGAGAATATTTCCCAGCTATGTGGAAGCATACTCCAGGGTCTCAATGTGTTGATATCCTCACCAATATCTGATATCATGCAACGCTTTAGTTTCTGTCAACCTAAAGATTATATATCAATGACACCTTATTGATACTTTGATGAGCTTGATGATACTTTTTTTTTGTTGCTAGAAGGGTGAGTACACTTTCATATTTGCTTCTCCTTTACCTGGGCTTTTCTTTCTATGAAGAACCTAGTCACAGAGGAG